CATTTTTAGATTATTTTAGGCAAGGTTAAATTGCTTGAAAATGTGTTTTTTTTTTTTTTTTTTTGGGTAAGATTTATTTTACTTACACAAGAGCTGGGGTACAGGCCAGAGGTGTGGGAGGGTGACAGGATTCACCAGAGACAGAGCTGGGAGCAGAACAGGCAGACTGATGAAATACACTGCTGAGGGGAGCAGTGGGCAAGACAGGAGAGGTCTGCTTCACCATGTGGCATTCTCGCATGGCCGGCCACGATCGAACCCGTGCTGCAGAAGCTGTGGACAGCTTCACAGTGTGCTGCTCAACCGCCTGCACCACCAGGGAGGCCCAGATTTTGTTTCTTAATGTAGGTCTGAACTGCATTTATAACTTCTCTTTTAGTACTGAGAACTGTTTTAGAGGATATTCATTATTTTTGGAAAGGAAGATTTAAAGCCATTTTTTGCTTTGTTCTTTATATTTTTATGGTGTATATTTCTTTTTATTGTAAGATTATTCTTATAATCAAAAATACTCTATTTTCATCTAAGGGTTTGATAAATTATTTTGATTTTGCTTCCAAATTATCCATTCCCTTACATTTATATAATTCAGGCCTTCTTTGAGATCTTCATTTTTTCCCCACTTGCAACAGGCATGTAATTACAATAGTTGCCCTCTCATAATAGCACATTGTACCAAGTTTACAAAATACTTTCATATACATTATTCCCACTGAAAATAAAAAACAACCTAATGAATTTATACTATATTATTATCATTTACACGTTTTAAAATGCCAAATTTACTGACCATGAAGGGGACTTCTGACCCAAATTCCATGTATTTCCTAAACCAGGATATAGGCTGATTTGAAATAAGAATAAATCCAAACTCCTTAACACAGTCTGGATGGAATAAGGAGTACAGTATATTTCCTAGAACTGTAAGAAAGCAGAGAGATGAGACTGGAAGGGCTTTACATGCCATATTAAGGAATTAGAATTTTTTTTAAGATTTATTTTTTTTATCCATATAAGAACTGGGGTGTAGGCCAGAAATGTGGGGAGGTGGGTGAGAGGATTCACCAAAGGCAGAGTAGAACAGGCAGATCTACCGAAATATACTGCTAAGGGGACAAATGGGCAAGACAAGAGAGGTCTATCATGCCATATGTGAGGTAGCTCCCAGCCCAGGGATCAGGCTCATGCTATAGTTTCTGGCAATAGCTTGATATTGTTGAGACTTTAACCCCATCAGAAAGGCCCCCCAGAATTAGAATATATTCCAAAAGCAACAAGAAAGTTTTTTTTTTTTGAATTTTTTTTTTTTAAAGATTTATTTATTTTTATTTATACAAGCACTGGGTACAGTCAGAAGTGCAGGAGGGTGAGAGAATTCACCAGAGCCAGAGCGGGGAGCAGAGCAGGCAGAAGGACTGAAGTACACTGCTGAGGGGAGCAGCGGGTGGCAGGAGAGTGCTGCAGGGGGTCTTGTTGCCCCAGCCAGATAGGATACTGACAAGCAGCTAAGAGAAAGGGCCTCACACCATGGGGCTGAAGATCTGGCATCCCTTTGCTTTTTGTTCTTGGTCATAGAGAGAGAAAAATTTATCAGAAAGTATATTAGGCAATAAATTATATGTATCAGCATACTGTAAGTAAATGGCACAGAAAACTGTCTGTTTAGAAATTAGTTGTTGGAAAAAACTATGAACCAGAGACACTCTATGGGGGGTAGGGGGTGGAAGGGGAGGGATTGGGGTCAAAATAAGGGGGTTGCAATTGTATGGGGAATATAAAAATAAAATTTATTATAAAAAAATGAAAGATATAAAAAAAAAAAAAGAAATTAGTTGTTGGGCAGTTTGGCCCACTTGACAATGGAAGATGGTTTGTTGTGCATGCCTGACAAGCAATCCAGCACAACAATTGTAGTGGGTCCTTCTTTTGCCTTCTCTTGAAGTTTCTTGGGAAAGTTTTTAAATGAAGCTATTTGAGTTAGGAGTTTCTAAATAGAAAAAAGTTCTGATAGCTGAGTAGCAGCCGGTCCCCAGCTGAAGGCCATGCAAATAAGAGGAGTCTTTTCTTGCTTAGGCTTTGGCTGATAGGGATGTACTGGCGGCTATCTACTGTCTTAGGTTATTGTTTAGCTGAAACAATGAGTTTTAGTGTAAGGCTTAGTTTTTTATTAACCTTGAAGGTTGCCTTCTTACTAGAGAGCCCGTGGTGGCCAAAAGCCTATGGAAAAAGAGATGCACCGATTGTTTCTGCTCTGTTTCTATGCACATGATAATGTAATCTCAAGGCTTGCAAAAAATGTATAAATAACCTGCTGAGCCTCTCAGCAGAAGATACTAGCACCTCACCAAGTGTCAGTGTCTCCTCATTCTACCTTGTCCCCTTCCCCTCAGTCCTTTCGTTTTCGCCAACGACGCCGTCTCATCCTTTCAGGAACCCCTGACACGACATTTTGCCGAGGCTGGTCCCCGGCAGGAGAGGTCTGCGCGACATGTGGGACCCTCCTCCAGTGGCTGGGGAGAAGCCGGGGATCAAACCGGTGCTGCAGAGGCTGCGGGCAGCTTCGCAACCCAGCACTCAACCGCTGCGCCATCGGGGAGGCCCAGCAACAAGAAAGTTTTTAAATAGAGTGAATTATAAATTATAGTTACTGTGACTGAATGTCTAATTTTTTGGTTATGGGTCAGACAGTAAATACTCTAGACTATATAAGACATATGGTCTCTTGCAACTACTTAACCCTGTGATTGTAAAGCAAAAGCGGCCACTGTTCATAAACAAATGAGTTCATCTGTATTCCAATAAAACTTCACATGGACACTAAAATTTGAGTTTATATATTGTGTATTTTTAAGTGTGGTATAATAATATTGTTTCTCTTTTGAATTTTTTCAAAGGTTTAAATTGCATAAAGACATTTGGGGCCTGGATTTCTCTGGCAGGCCATAGTGTGCTGAACCCTAGTTGAAATAGTGTTTCTTAGGCTGCAGAATAATGTAGATGGTCCTCTTCCTCAGGTGGAGCATCCTCATACTGCATTTTAAATATTCGAAGCCTACTGATGTTATGCTATATGTCTTTCTCTATCACTGATAGATGTTAATATTAAGGACTATTTGCAGATTAATTGATACTTTTTTTATATCTATTCCCTTATGTTCCATATGGTATTATTTTTAGTCTTTTAAGAAGTGGTATGTTGGGAGTAGAAAATAGAGTCATAAATGGGATTAATTCTGTTTATTTTATGAACTTTTCAATTTAAATGAGGTTAATATTTTTCAGTATAGGGTTAGACCTGTAGATCTCTAAATGGCTAATTTAAGTAGTAAGAGTTGCTATATTAGAAAACATTGTATATTCTTTTAGACAATTTCAACATGGTGCTTTGAATCTATATAGTATATTCATGAGCTTAAATGGAAGTTTCTTTTAGGTGTTAATGCTCAAAGATTCAGTGTTCTAAATAATGACTATTGACTTTTGCAAATAAAAAGAAAGTAAAACTTTTCTCATCTTTTATACATAAAAACCATCTAGTTAGGTTCAGTAAAAAAGCTCTTTGCATTAAAAGAAATTTAAACAAACATGGACAATTTCTTTATATTACAGACTGAGACTAAATACTAAAATAGATATGAATTGAAAAACAGTTGAGATCATGGCCTTGATTAGGTAATAGTAACTAATACTTAAAGCAGTAGAAATCAGAGAATAACATAAATCACCAAGAGGAAAAATTTGCCAGACACTAAACATTTAAATACTTTTTATGTCTTTGGTTTTTATCTAGCTAGAAAAAAGATGGACACTACAGATCTAAAAAATAAAGAAATATGGGGAAAAAAAGCAAAAACCTTGATTGGGTAATGGAAGAGGTGAAGAGATGGAGATAAAAATGGAAAAGTCAATGGGGTCAGAAAAATCTTAAGTGTTGTAATTAAATTTCTGACATTGTGATGTTTGTATGCATAGATTCTGATGAAAATAGTAACACCTTCCCCTCAATATACTAATGTCTTCAATTAGACATAACAAATACAAATGACAAATAGCAGAAGGTTCATACTTGTGAAAGTAATTAAAATTTTTTTCATGACCAGTGAAAGCACAATTTAAATGAAGGATATGCAGTTAGAATTTAAATAAAGTTATTCCAAAGACAAATGACCTAATGTCACAACCCCATATTAACATTTAAAGCATCAAAGCTTAATTTAAACTACAAAGTATCTTCATTGTGCCTAAGATTCAAGAAAAGAGCCTTCCAGATGTTGTTTTCTAGAAGTTTTTGTTTTATTGTTTGGCAACAATGAAATCTCTGTGAAGTAGAATATGCAAGAAAGAAACCCCTTCTTTGTTGATCTAATTTCGCTGTGCTTTGTGGTGAAAAATCTTGTAAGAACCTGATACACAATACAAGTATCTGTATGAACCTGATCAAGTTTTCTCTTCTGTAGCTTCTGTAGCTAATACAAGAGGGTTAATGTGTATGTGATTTTCTAACTCCATAGATCCACTTTGCACCGTGGTTACTTTAAAAACACAAGTGGGAACATTAATGATTTTGTTTTTTCTCACTAAAATGAAGAACCAAATGAGCATATTAAAGATCTATGGGATCTGTTTTGCCCTATGTCCTGGCTCCTGCAACTATACCTCTTCAGAGAATGGATTAGAAAGACATTTAAGCTTATTAGATAGAAAGATGTCATCCCCTTACATCAAGGTACATGAAGAGAAAAGTTCAAGAATTATAAATTCTTAGAAAAACATAAAAAGTCCTTTGGACCTTGGCAACGAAAAATGTCAACAAGTCAAAAGCGACTAGATGGCTATTGACCAGTTCTAAGAAGGCAAAGCTGCAAGCCAAGATGGAATAATGCTTTCCCACAGTGTATCGAAGGCACAAATGACACTAATCCTTTTTAATGGCCACAAAAGCTGACAACTTACTCAGCCTTAGAACTGAATGCACAAAATCATCTCTGAGAATGACTCACCATAAACAGGTCACGAGCACCAATGTCAACAGCTAGTAGAAATGCCTTTTCAAATCTCTGATACCTACAAGGAAGAAATGTTATATGTTAGTTGTGAACAAAACTATATAAAAGTAGAAAACTGTTTATGTGTTACTGTTTTTGTTGTGATGGGAAAAATATTTTCAGACAGAAGGGATTTAGCCTGCTAGGATCTTCCATATGTGAAGTGTTACTGCACTTCGCAGGAGCTAAGTGAAGCACAGCGCCTGTTGAGGCCATCAGAGCAACTTTCATGGGTAAGTATAACTCAGAGTAGGTAATGCTGAATGTAGGGCAGTGCTTCTCATAGTTTTTTACTTTTTGTGTTTTGTAAGAAAAAGTTTGGGGATTTGGAGAATATAGGAAGAGTCATTACTACATCATGTAACTATATATGGGTTTCTTAGGTAAAAGTTAAAAAGTCAAATGTTGCATTATTATAAAAGTCTTATATTTGTGCATTTTGGAAAAATACAAATAAGGCTGTATTTTACATTGTAAAATAACAATATAAATGGTTTCTAAGTATTTTTTTAATATTACCTTTCTACTTACTTTTCATAATCATATGCTTTCCTATAGTTTACTTTTTGAGAATTTTCTTTGTAAAGGCTTAAATTTTGGCTAAGATACATGAAAATAGCAGTTTAAGTTAATCACATTTATAGAAAGTTTAAGATCCTGAGAGAAAATCATGTCATGAACATTGCACAAGTTTTTGGAAGGATGGGTCATCTTTATTTGGTCTGAGCGCTGAGATTTATACAGATAAAACTACAATTTTCTGACTTTAAAATCAGCAGTTAACTAAACAGCTCTGTGTTTTGTTTTTCATTTTGTATTGGGAACTATGGTAATAAAACATGAGATTTCAAATAAATCTTACCAGAAAAGATTCTAATTATATTATTAACAGATCACATATTAAAGTAGCTAAGATAATTAAAATTCAAACAAGACATTATTACCTATTAGTTGCTAAGTCCAGAACCTGAGATACTTCACAATTTCCAGAGTATGTTTGATTGCTATTATCCCCATCTCTCAATGATCCTTCTTACTAGTATTTTTACTCAACTATGGAAGATCAGAAGGCAATTGCATTTACTTGAAGAGTGTCTGGTTTCAGATAGGTTACTGATTTATTGCCTAGTTGGTGTAGGTGAGAGCTAATGAGAAGAGGCCAAAGGATAAGCAAATTGTCCTGCTTGCCAGTACATGTACAGCCATTTTGCATTTGTCCCCATTCCACTGCAGTGTTTCAATAGTAGTTATCTATTTTCTAATGATCAAACATAAAGATAAGTTCTCATTTTACGTGCCCTTTTGGCTGCATTTAACCCTTATTAAATCCCACTCTCTTTCTTTGCATTTGGGTTGTCATTTTTTTTTTCTATTTCATAGACTTCATCTTCTTAGTTTTCTTTCCTAGTTCATTTTTCCACTGAGAGAACACCCCTTGATCACCTGGCTATGCAGGCCAAGGGGTCGGGAGCTTACATTCCTGAGTTTCACGAGACTGTAAAAATTGGAGAGACAGTTCTTGGCAGATTACCATCCTCAGGGCACTGCAGAGACAGCGGACTGAAAAACACCCAAGTCTTTCCATGAAAGAGATCCCTTTACTTGTCCTGACATTTTTAGTCTGAGGGGCAGGCTTCAGGTTTGTAACACATCTAGTGGCCTAAAGAGGTGCTCTCAAGGAACAAAGGCTGGTGAGTGCCTTATTTGCAATCTCCCTCTGCATCACTACATGGAGTCACTCCTAAGACTGGGGAGGTAGCTATTTTATCTAATATATAGGAACACAAACAAACGATGTAGCAAAATAAGGAAATACAGGAATATATTTCAAATGAAACAACCAGGAAGAAAAAAACTTAGTGAAAGAGAGAGGAGTGATTTACTTGATAAACAGTTCTAAGAAATGGCCATAAAGATGTTCACTGATCTCGGGTGAAGAATGGATGAACACATGTAATTAATGCTGGCTTTTATATTTACCTATGTAGTTATTTTTATGGGTATTCTTTATTTCTTTGTCCCATGCTTTTGAGTAGGTCCCTAGTGTTTTTTCATTTCAACCTGAAGCACTTCCTTTAACATTTCCTCTAACCCAGGTCAGTAAGCAATGAACTGCTTTACCTTTTATCTGGAAATACCCTAATCCTCATTCATTTTTATTTTTATATATTTTTAAAAAAATTTATTATATTTTACATCATTGTTCATTTCTGTACAATGATACTTTCTCCTCTCAGGTTTAGTCCTCAAAAAATTCCCACCACCAAGTCACCTATGAGCTGCCACCAGGCTCTTGTGCTTTTCCCACCCTGATTTAATCCCTCTCCCTCTAACTCCCCTGCAGAATGTCTCTGATCTGAAGTTGCCTGTTAATTTTGTCTCCCCACCCCATCCCTTATTTGGTTCACCTCTATTCCTCCTGTAAGTGAAACCATCTGATATTTTTCTCTTTCCTTCTGCCTTATTTCACTGGGCATAATCCCTTCCAGCTCCATTCATGTTGCTGCAAATGGCATGAGTTTATCTTTTTGATTGCTGAGTAGTATTCCACTGTGTATATCTACCACATCTTCTTGATCCACTCATCTGTTTTTTGGGCATTTAGGTCATTTCCATATCTTAGCTATTGTACATAGTGCTGTGATAAACATAGGAGTGCAGGCTTCCTTTCAAATTAATGTTTGTGTTCATTGGGTAGATTCCTAGGAGTGGAATTGCTGGGTCATTATGGTAGTTTCATTTTTAGTAATTTGAGGAACCTTCACCCAACTTGCCATGGTGGTTGGACCAGTTTACATTCCCACCAGTAGTGTAGGAGAGTTCCTTTTTCTCCACATCCTCGCCAGCATTTGTTGTTGCCAGTTTTTCACTATGTGCCCTTCTCACTGGTGTGAGGTAACATCTCATTGTGGTTTTGATTTATATTTCCCTGATTATAAGTGATGTTGAACATTTTATCATATATTTGTTGTTCATATATTTCCTCTTTGGAGAAGTATCTTTTTAGCTCTTCTGCCCTTTTTTGACTGGATTGTATACTTTTTGTTGAGTCGTGTGAGTTCTTTGTAGATCTTTGTGATCAGTCCCTTAACAGTTGTATGGAGTGCAAAAATTTTCTCCCAATCAGTAGGATATCTCTTTGTGTTGGCTAATGTCTCTTTTGCTGTACAGAAACTTTTCAGTTTGATGTAACCCCAGCTATTTATCTTTTCCTTAACTTTCTTTGCTTTGGGGGATGTGTCTTTAAAGATGTTACTGAGAGGTATGTCATGTAGTGTTTTACCTATATTTTCTTCCAAATATTTTATGGTTTCAGGTCTTATGTTCAATTCTTTTATACATTTTGAGTTAGTTTTTATGCATGGGATGAGATAGTAGCCAGTTTCATTCTTTTGCACTCATTCATTTTTAAAGGATAGTTTTAACGAATGTAGGTTTAGGGTTTATTCTTTTTTTTATACATTAAATGGCAACTTGTTACTTTCTGATTTACATGGTTTGGGATAAGAAATCAGCTCTTAATCATATTAGAAAGCAATAAAATATCTCCATTTACAATTGCCTCAAAAGCAATCAGATACTTTGGAATTAGCCTATTAATAATTAAGGGTGTGAAAGATCTATACAACAACTATGAAACATTATTAAGAGATTTAATGATAAGGAGATGGAAGGATATCCCATATTCATGGATCAGGAGACCCAATATAATAAAAATGATTGTCCTGCCTAAAGCAATATATTAAATTTATACAATCCCCATCAAAATACCAACAATATGGGCCTCCCCGGTGGCGCAGCGGTAGAGCGCTGGGTTGCGAAGCTGCCCGCAGCCTCTGCGGCGCCGGTTCGATTCCCGGCTGCTCCCCGGCCACCGGAGGAGGGTCCCACATGGTGCGCAGACCTCTCCTGCCACCCGCTGCTCCCCTCAGCAGTGTACTTCGGTCCTTCTGCCTGTTCTGCTCCCCGCTCTGGCTCTGGTGAATTCTCTCACCCTCCCGCGCTTCTGACTGTACCCAGTGCATGTATAAACAAAACAAATGAACAAACAAATAAATAAATAAATAAAACATGCCTCTATTAAAAAAAAAAAAAACAAAAAAACAAAATACCAACAATATTCTTCAAAGAAATTTTTTTAAAACAATGAATTTTATATGGAACCACAAAAGACCTTGAATAGTAAAAGCAGTCTTGATGAAAAAAGAAGAGAAAGAGATATATCACATTACCTGACTTCAAACTTTACTGTAAAGTAACAGTGTTAAAAACAATATGGTGATGGCACAAAATAAATACAAAGAATGGAACAGAATTGAAAGCCCAGAAATAAATCCACATATGTATCAGTACTTAATTTATGATAAAGCTGCCATAACCATACAATGGGAAAAGGAGAGCCTCTTTAAGAAATGGTGCTGATCCTGATATTTTTTTAAAAAATGGTGGTATCACACTTCCAGACTTCAGATTATACTATAAAGCCATAATAATTAAAACAGCCTAGTATTGGAACAAAAACAGATACACACAGACCAGTGGAGTAGAATTGAGGACCCTGAAATAAATCCATTGTCATATGGACAGTTAATCTACAACAAAGGGAATCAAGAACATACGCTGGAATATGGATAGCTTCTTCAATAACTGGTGTTGGGAAAACTGGAAAGCCACATGCAAAAGAACGACATTAGACCACTCTCTCACACTATATACAAAAATCAATTCAAAATGGATAAAAGACTTGGATGTAAGACCTGAAACCATAATATATAAAAACATAGGCAAAATACTTTGCAACAAGCTTCAATGATGTCTTGAGGGAGTCTTCTCCAACAGCAAGAAAAATAAGAGAATATAGACAACTGGGGCTACATTAAATTAAAACGCTTCTGCAAGATGAAAGAAAAAGTAGCTTAAAAAAAAAGATATCCTTTCTAAATGGGAGAAAATATTTGCACAGCATATATCTGAAAAGGAGCTGATATGGAAGCTCTACCAAGAACTCACACAACTGAA